AACGCGCAGATTTGGGGTATCACACATACCAATGAACAAGCCCCGGCAGTGGGTATTACCCTCACCCCTGAGCAGAAACAGGTATTGGAGGTCCCACTTACCTTTGACCAGGCTCAGGCATTAGAGACCCCTCTCACTGCAGAACAGGCCTGGAAATTGGGGGTCGCTATCACTCCAGAAATGGCTCAGAAAGTATCACACACTCTTTTTCTTAAGCAGGGCAAAGCATTGGGGATCGGTCCCACCTATGAACAGGCTCAGTCATTTGGCAGTCTAACTCTGAATCAGGCCCGGGCATTGCGAATCCCAAAAGCCTGGTTATCAATTATCACTCGTAGGCATGAACAGTCTTTGGGGGCCCCTCTCACCTCAGATAATGCCCATGTCTTAGGATCTCCCCTTACCCGTGAGCAAGTTCAACCTTCGGGAGCTCCCTTCACCCCAGGACAGGCCCAGCCCATGGGTATTACTCACATGTCTAAGCAGAGCCTAGAACCAAGAGCTCCTCCCATTAATGAGCAATTTTCACAATTCCGGGCTGGTCCTTCTTCAGGACATACCCAGGAAGTTGGGATCTTTTCCATTCCTGATAAATCCATCAAACCAAGTGCTCCTCACATGCCTAAGCCGTCCACCAGATTGGCCCCTTCTACTCTGAAACCATTTCAAGAATCAAAGACTCCTCTCCTTTCTGGGCAATCCACTACATCAAGAACTAGATGGTCCCTGGTACCATCTGCTCTTATTGATGAGAAGACCCCTGGATTTAAGGTCTCTTCTACTTCTTTGCAGACATCAGGGTTTCCTTTTACCCAAGCCCCATTTGTCTCTGGGAAATCCCGAGGAAAGGGGAGCTTCGGTAGGGAGCTTCCTTCCTCTAAACAGACACTGGTTTCTAAGGGTCAATTCACCCCTGTGAAGTTCCTAGCACCAGAGGTCCCTCCCACCCCTGGGAAGCTTTCAGTATCTGGGACCCCTCCCACGCTAGGGCAGCCCCTTACACTGGATTCCCTTCTTAGCCCTAGGCAGATCCTCATACCTAGGGACTCTCTGACTCCCCAGTCACCCCTGATATCAAAGCTTCCTCTTGCCTCCAGGCAACCTCTTATATCTGGGATTCCACCCGCCTCTTCACAGATTCCCAGTCTCTGGGCTCCTCTCTTTCCTGGGAAGCCTTTGATTCCTAGGGCCCCTTCTGTGCCTGGGGAGCTCATGGAATCTGGACTCTCCACCTCTGAGCAGCCCCAGGCATTTCAGCTCCCTACCGCCTGTGAGCAATCTCCCTATCTACAGGCCCCTTCTACCCTTGGGGAGCTTCCGGCACCACAGACCTTTCCTGGGCAAGCTTTCCCACTACGGATCTCTCCCACCCCCGGGCATCCCCCACCACCACGGGCCCCCTCAACCCCTGGAAAGCCCCCAAAAGATTTGTCTCTGAAATCTAAAGCAGCATTGGTCCATCCCGGTGCTCCAAGTTTCAAGGTACCACCAGCCCCTTTCACCACTAAGAAGTTCCAAATATCAGAGGTCTCTGACACTTCTGAAGAAATCCAGGAACTCCGAGATTCTTTTACTCTGGAACAACTTAGGACATTTCAGTCCTATCTCACCAAGTATAGGACACCAGTATCACAAACTCCTTACATTGATGAGGGGGCCCTGCCCGCTCGCATGAAGCCTATAACATCACTGCCTCCTCTTACTACTCAACTACCCAAAAGATCACAGATTGCACCTTCCGAATGGGACTGGAAATCCCGATTTCCCCCTATAAGTAAGCCCTGCGTACTGACTTCAGTTTCAGGTACCAAGAAACTCAAGATGATGATACCCCCTTCCTCTTTCCAAGAGCTCAAAGAGCAGAGGTATTTTGTTGATGTGAAGGCTCAAAGGAAGAACCTGATACTCTTAAATCAGAGCACAGAAACTTCTGGACACCCTTCAGAGCTAAATACAACAGCTAGAAATCTCATAATTGAGACACTTCATACAGACACAGTTCGACTGGGATACCTATTCCGCAAGTACATTGCCTATAGGCTGATCCAGCGTGCAAGGTAGATGTAACTATTACATGTTGATTTCTGGTTTAGTCCTGATTTCAAATATCCTCCCACATTGCCCTATAAGTATATTCATATTTATCAGATCAGGTGTTCTAAAAGATTCTCTTATGGTAGGTCTATGGGATGGAAGCCTATTTAAGATAGCAAAAGGAGATATTTTTTAGAAAATAAATATCATATAATATGATCTATTTCATATGCCAAGGTAAATTTTGTGGATAATGACTGATCCCCATAATATCTACTTCAAAAGTTTAAGAGAATCCAGGTATTCAGAATTTTTTTACATCATCTTGGGCTCACCAGAAGATGTATGATTCTTAAAATGGGAAGATGGCAGATTATGTACAAGGTGTTGCCATGGCAACTTGACTGCTGGAGTGACCTGAAAGAAACAGATCCTCATCCTGATTTTTAAAAATTGCAAATATCAGAAATAGGTCAGGGAAATGGATCTGGTTCCCCCCCGACCCCCCGCAACCCACACAAACACACATGGCTACCCAGTTCCCCCTACTTATTTAAACATATCTTAGTTATAAATTCTTGTATCAATTAGGTACATATCTGGACTTTTTATTATTTTTTACTGATTACATATAGATGAGTCATTTCTATTCCATGTTATTTATTGCAGTTTTATTTTCATGATGTTGAGTCTTTGTCAACTGATCTGCCATCCTTAGCATTTGTGTTTTGAGGTTACGAACCCTATTATTTTGGGGAAACTTTTTAACCTTAAATTACAAGAAGCTAAACTAAAACCTACAATAGAAGAGGTTATCATTAAATATAGGAAGAACTATGTTATTTATTCACCACATGTTTACTGAATGCCTCCGATGTGCCAAGCATTGTTTTAGTTGCTAGGGATATAGCAGTGAATAAAACAAAGTACCCTGTTCTCAATAAATTTACATTTTTGAGGACAGAATTCATTTGATAACTAAGGATTGAAATAACAAGGTGCAAAAGAAAGACTTATTCAAGATATAATCAGAACTTTTAATTTCAAAGCTTAAATTGAGATTTGTTGGAAAATGTTTTACTCTATATTTGTCTTTAGTTTGTTCTTTCCAAACTGAATATTCCTAGTTTTTTTTAATCTATTCGAGAATTTTAAATAACATGTTCCTGGTCAATCTCCAGTTCTCTTACATCTTTTTTCCTTAGTTTTATTTAAATTTTAAAAAATAAGTGGCATTCACCTGGTACAATATTTTAAAAATTCAAATGAGATAAAGAGAAGTCTCCCTAATAATCCTATCCTAGCCTTTAGGCCTCTTCCCCAGGGCTACTAATGCATATGCATAACATTTTCTGTATATGTAGAAAAGTACTATGCTCTTTTATCCCCCTTTTTGCATATTTTAAAGTTACCATGTTTGATTTTTTTTCATAATTGAACTTAGGTATTAAGTGTTAGATAACTTGGGAATTCGTATATAAAGAGTCTACTCATTCATTTTATAGTTCCATAGTATTCAAAGTTTGGATTTACCAGAATTTACCTAACCTCTGATGGATATTTATGCTGTTTTCAACATTTTTCTTTATAAAAATATACTTTTATGAACAATCTTGTATACATATATATATGTATGTATATTCTTAGTAGAATTTCTGGATCAAAGGGTGTTTTATAATTGTGATAGATTTTTGTCAAATTGTTTTCCAAAGAGGTTGTAACAATTTACATATTGGCTAGTGTTATAAATTGGTATTTCCCTACATCAAGACTAACACAAACTATTATCAAATTTTTTGTTCATTGCCAATATAATAGATGAAATATGGCATTTTACTGCTTTAATTGTCACTACTTTTATTATTGGTGAGGTTAAGCGTCTTTTTCTAGACTTAAGAGCCATCTGTATTTCATTTTCTGTGAAGACACCATTAAAATACTTTGCCCATTTCTCATTTGGGTTGTCAACTTGCTTTTAAAAATTCATTTGGGGGATCTGATAAAATATTTGGAAAATTGGCCCCTTGTCTGTGAGGTAAATTGTAAATTTCCCCCCTCTTGTCTTTACTCTGCTTTTGGTATTTTTTGCTTTGTAGAAAATTATGATTTTTAGCCCTAGCCGAGTGTTGGCCTGCAGACTGAAGGGGTCCCTGGTTTGATTCCGGTCAAGGCACATACCAGGTTGTGGGCTCGATCCCCAGTGGGGGGCGTGCAGGAGGCAGCCCACCAATGATTCTCTCTCATCATTGATGTTTCTATCTCTCTCTCTCCCTCTCCCTTCCTCTCTAAAATCAATAAAAATATACATTTTAAAAATTATGATCTTTAAAAGTCCTTTCTAGGTCTCTTAGTATTTTTATGGTTGGTTATTCATTTTTTTGTTTGTTTTATACCTAAGTCTTTAATTCACAACATTCTGTTGTAAGAAATGGATCTGGTTCTCCCCCCCCCCACCCCCCCCACACCCACCCACATACATGGCTACCCAGTTCCCCCTACTTATTTAAACGTATCTTAATTATAAATTCTTGTATCAATTAGGTACATATCTGGACTTTTTATTATTTTTTACTGATTACATATAGATGAGTCACTTCTGTTCCATGTTATTTATTGCAGTTTTATTTTCATGATGTTGAGTCTTTGTGATAGTCATTATAGTGTTTGCCAGTCCTTGTTAATGAGATGTGATCAGAATTGGTATGTGTCACTTCTGTGCTGAGCATTGTCAGTCTGACACCCTCCAGAATCTCTTCTTCCTCTGCCACAATAACCTACGATGTTTAAGATGATAGCTGTTTTTTCAGCCTGTGTTCTTGAGAGTATACAACGAAGCTCTCCCTGCTGAGCCCTGGTGGATTTGTAGTATGAACAACAAGTAAAATTTTCTTTTTAGCCACTAAGATTTGGGGTTGCTAAAACAGCAAATCTAGCTTATCTTTACTAACACTGTCTTCCTTTTCAAGAATATGGTATACCTTCCTTTTTGTTCGAGTATGTGTGTGTCCTTCTGGAAAAAGTTTTTGTATAACTCTTCCATATTCTTCCATAAGTGTATATCCTGGTAGTTGTGTTTTTTAGAAAATATTTTTATTGATTTCAGAGAGGAAGGGAGAGGGAGAGATAGAAACATCAATGATGAGAATCACTGATTGGCTGCCTTCTGCACACCTCCCACGGGGGATCAAGCCCACAACCAGGGCATATGCCCTGATCAGGAATAGAATCGTGACCTCCTGGTTCATAGGTCGATGCTCAGCCATGCCAGCTGGGCAGTTTTTATTTTTGTGGTTACTATTGTAAATGGACTCTCTCTTTCTTTTTTTAAATTTTTTATTTTAATTAAATCTTTATTTTTCAGATTATTACATTGGTTCCTCTTTTTTCCCACCATAACTCCCCTCCACCCAGTTCCCACCCCACACTCTGCCCTCACTCCCCACCCACTGTCCTAATCCATAGGTGCACGATTATTGTCCAATCTCTTCCCTCACCCCCCTCACCCTTCCCCCCCCCAAGAATAGTCAGTCCATTCCCTTTCTATGTCCCTGATTCTATTACAATCACCAGTTCATACTGTTCATCAGATTATTTATTCACTTGATTTTTAGATTCACTTGTTGATAGATGTGTATTTGTTGTTCATAATTTGTATCTTTACCTTTTTCTTCTTCTTCCTCTTCTTAAAGGATACCTTTCAGCATTTCATATAATACTGGTTTGGTGGTGATGAACTCCTTTAGCTTTTTCTTATCCGTGAAGCTCTTTATCTGACCTTCACTTCTGAATGATAGCTTTGCTGGATAAAGTACTCTTGGTTGTAGGTTCTTGGTATTCATCACTTTGAATATTTCTTGCCACTCCCTTCTGGCCTGCAAAGTTTCTGTTGAGAAATCAGCTGACAGTTGTATGGGTACTCCCTTGTAGGTAACTGACTGTCTTTCTCTTGCTGCTTTTAAGATTCTCTCTTTGTCTTTTGCTCTTGGCATTTTAATTATGATGTGTCTTGGTGTGGTCCTCTTTGGATTCCTTTTGTTTGGGGTTCTCTGCGCTTCCTGGACTTGTAAGTCTATTTCTTTCACCAGGTAGGGGAAATTTTCTGTCATTATTTCTTCAAATAGGTTTTCAATATCTTGCTCTCTCTCTTCTTCTGGCACCCCTATAATTCGGATGTTGGTACGCTTGAAGCTGTCCCAGAGGCTCCTTACACTATCTTTGTATTTTTGGATTCTTTTTTCATTTTGCTTTTCCGGTTGGGTGTTTTTTGCTTCTTCGTATTTCAAATCTTTGACTTGATTCTTGCGATCCTCTGGTCTGCTGTTGGGAGTCTGTATAATATTCTTTATTTCAGTCAGTGTATGCTTCATTTCTAGTTGGTTCTTTATCACAACATCGAGGGTTTCACTAGATTTCTTGAAGATCTCACTACATTTATTGGCGATCTCACCAGTCTTCTTGAAGATCTCACTACATTTATCGGCGGCTTCTAGACAGTTCTTTAAAGACCTTAAAAGTGTGGTTTTGAACTCTATCTAGCAGTTTGCTTTCCTGTATTTCTGTCGTTTGTGTCCTGTTTCTTTGTCTCGGCATTTTTTATGCTTTGCTGTGTCGATAGAGTGCCTTTCTGTGCTAAGTGTCCCAATTACCTGAGGTAGACACTCTTGGTGCACCCCCTTGTGGGCTTTGTGCACAGTCTTGTTGTAATTAAGCCTTGATTGTTGTAGTTATCACTGTGAGGAATTGAGCTCCAGGCCAATTGACTGTGAGAATCAGCTGTGTTTGCAGTGGGAGAACTTCTGTGCTGGAGACACCCCTCTGGGGCTAGACTTTCTTCGATGGGGCTTTGGTGCTCACTGAGTCTGCCCCCTGAGTGTGTCTTTTATGGTTCCACGGAGCTGCAAACTGGATGGTCCCACTCTGACCTCTGGGCTTCCTGGCTCCTGGGTCTCTAGGGAGGTGCTAATCTAGCCTTTGCCTGCAGCTATCCAGCAAAAGTCTCCCTGCAGGGCTTGGGCGGGGCGGGTCCCACAGGATCAACAGGGTGGGGCTAGCAATTATGGCTGCTCTCAGTCTTGCCCTCAGAGGCTCTGCTTCTCAGTGTCCTGGTAATCACTGCAAGCCCCTCGGAGAGAAAGCTGCCCTAGTGTTCTGACCGATGCCAGACATGGACTCTCTCTTTCTGTGTTATCTTCTAACTCATTATTTGTATAAATGAAGGCTAGATTTCTATATATCAATTTTGTATGCAGCCATTTATGGTATTCAAGCATGTGAAAGTTTTTTAATTGATATTTTTGAGTTCTCCAGGTATATAATCAAAGCACCTACCAATAATAATATTTTACATTTAGATTTGCCAATTTTTAAACATCTAATTTCTGTCTCTTTATTATCTGAATTGGTTAGTATCTCCAGGACTCTGTTAAAAAATATTGGTGATATGGCTACCAGGTCATCTTTATTCATTTGACTGCCCTGAGTAACTGCTATGAGTGCCTTCCTGTAGCCCCATGTTATTTTTCTAAAAAAAGTTCATATTCAAGTGTGTTTAAAGGATCACTTACATTGGTATTCTCTTTTCTGAAAAAGTTGTAAAATATTCTTAACCTAAGTCAATTTCTTCTTTGTTCTTATTTTCTCCATTCTATGTATCTCAGATGGCCAAAATATAAGCCCTTTCATAGCTATTTATTAAAAAATAACTATAAATTGGTTAAAAAGATAGTGACAATAATGAATATCCTATATAATAAAAGGGTAATATGCAAATTGACCCTAACGGTGGACCGATCAGTTGCTATGACACTCACTGACCACCAGGGGGCAGATGCTTAATGCAGGAGCTGTCCCCTGGTGGTCGGTGTCTTTCCACAGGGGGAGTTCTGCTCAGCTACAAGCTGGGCTGAGGGCTGTGAGCATAGCAGCAGTGGTGGGAACCTCTCCTGCTTCTGTGGCAGTGCTAGGATGTCCAACTGCAGCTTAGGCCTGTTCCCATCAGTTGGACATCCCCTGAGGGCTCCTGAGCTGCCAGAGGAATATCTGACTGCCAGCTTAGGCTTGATCCCCTGGGGAACAAGCCTAAGACGGCAGGTGGACATCCCCTAAGGGGTCCTGGACTGTGAGAGGGTGCTGGCCAGGCTGAGGGACCACCCCCACCCCCAAATGCACAAATTTTCGTGCACTGGGTCTCTAGTCTTTCTTATATTTGTCAGTAAAAAATACTGACTTTTAGATTTAAGTACATTTTTATCATATTAAAGTATCCATTTGCTCCTGTTCCATTATGTTTTTTTAAAATCAAGAGTGGATGTTGAATTTTGTTAATTTGTTAAAACACATTTTTTATTAAATGTGATTTTGACATGTCATTTTCATGTGCATTAAAGGAAATATTACTTTCTCCTGCATTCCTGGAATAAATCCTATTTGTCCTTGGTGTATCCTTCTTTGAATGTTATGAAGTTTGTTTGCTAATGTTTCATTTAGGTGTTGTTTTACATTAATTAGTAAGTTTGATTGGTGCTATCTTTGTCAATTTTTTTGTGCTATTTTTGTCAATTTTTAATATAATTTTAAGCTTCTATCATTAAAAAATGTGAAAACTTTTTTTTATGCTTGAGAGTTTAACAGTAAAATTAGTTGTTCTTTTAAGGTTTGGCAGATCTCATCTATGATATTATATAGGCTTGGTACTTTTGGAGGGAAGTTCTTAGACAACTTTCTTAATTTTTATATGGCAATTTGTTTAGATTTATTGGAGATTTAAAAATTTTTTGCATATATTTTTTATTGTTGAGAGTATTACAGATATCTCCCATTTCCCCCATTCCTCTTCCCCCTAACTGGAGATTTTGTAGTCTAAGTGACATGATGTGACCTGCTTCAGTAAAATCATTTAGAAATTGAAATATATAGATCAACGTTTTGTAACAATATTTAACTTATACAAGTATAACTTTAATCCCATCAAAAGTGAATTCATTTTTCCCAGAAAGTTCTTATTTAATATTTAATGTTATTATAATTAGATCACCAACAGGTATAACAAGGAATAAAATATTGATAGATTAAAGATTCCATAACAAAGATAGCTAGGTCAAGAAGATTCTTGACATTATATGGGCGAGAAGATACGGAGTATAATAATATTAACTACTTTTGAATGGTATAAAAGATGGTGATAAGAATGTTACCCACTTGCTTCATTGAGAACAGTGTTATTTATGGGACTGGGTGTGATAGGCATTCTATAATTGATGTGGAGAAGTTATTAAAAACACATGTAATAAAGATGGTTTAAGAATGAAAAAAATGAAAATCACCTATAGGACATGGAAAAAAATCGAAAGCTATTGGAAAATTAATTTAATTAAATATACTAAGTTAACTCAGAAAATTGACCTGTTTAAGTATTAAATGATCCATATATTTAGTAGGTTCTAAGTTATTAATTATAACCCACAAAAGGGACCTGAGATTTGTTTCCTCTGTGTGTGTGTGTTTATAATATGTATGTAAAACACATATGTTCAGAAACATATCTTCAATTATTCCCCTTGGCAACTCCTGCCCCCCAAATCCAAACTCTTTAACATGCCTTTTAAGGCCTTTCATAATCCAGCCATTCCAGTCTCCTTCCCACCATATCCTTTCATATATCCATGGTCTAAAAGTCTCAGACTATTCACCATTCCCAAAATATAACTTCCATTCTCTTACATTTGTACTAAGTATTACTTCAACCTGGAACTCCTCATCCCCTTCTTCCCAAACTTAAGATTTACCTGAGATTCTGTTTAAAATCCAGATCTCGAAGCCTACACACCAAGATTCTGATTAAAAAGGTCTGAGGAACCTTGGAATCTGTATTTTTAACAAGCATTTCCTCCTTCCCCGACAAATGATTCAGTCCACACTTTGAGAAATATTGGTATTCTGAAAAGAGAGAAGATCTAGGTTTGCTTCCCAAATATGCTATTTATTTATGTGACTTTAGAAAATCATTTAGCCTGGTCGGTATGGGTCAGTGGTTGAGCATCAACCCATGCATCAAGAGGTTGCTGGTTTGATTCCTGGTGAGGGCATATAACCCAGCTGCAGACTTGATCCCCAGTTGGGGGCATGCAGGAGGCAGCTAATTGCCTCTCTCTTCCCCCTCACCCTTCTCTCTGTAAAAATCACTTCAAAAATCTTTAATTTTTTTAAAAATTTTTTTTTGCACAGATTCCTTTTCCTCTCCTGTAGTATGGGGATGGTGAAACACTATCTGTTTAGGAGACCCAAACATGGTGGTATGCTATGAGAATACATTTTTTTAATATATATTTTTATTGATTTTTTACAGAGAGGAAGGGAGAGGGACAGAGAGTTAGAAACATCGATGAGAGATAAACATCAATCAGCTGCCTCCTGTACACTCCCTACTGGGGATGTGCTCGCAACCACGGTACATGCCCTTGACTGGAATCGAACCTGGGACCCTTCAGTCCGCAGGGCGATGCTCTATCCACTGAGCCAAACCAGTTAGGGCGAGAATACATTTTTATGACTATTCCTCAAGATCCTATTCAACATCTTCTTATAAAGCCTTCTTTATTTCTCTTACTATAACTAATTATGCATTTGTTTTTGTTCAAATAGCATGTTTACATTTTTATTTAGCATTTGTTTCATTTTCTCTTTGACACAGTTAATTTATTAGTCTCCTATTCTGGCTTTGAAATGCTTTGAAGGCAAAGACACTGTCTTTTTTATAATTGTACTAGAGGCTCGGTGCACGAATTTGTGCACCACTGGGGGGTCTCTCAGCCTGGCCTGCGGGATCAGGCCAAAATCAGCTCTCCGACATCCCCTAAGGGGTCCCAGATGGGAGAGGGCACAGGCCAGGCTGAGGGACCCCTACCAGTGCACGATCGGGGCCAGGGGTGGGGGGATGCGGGAGGTTGGCCAGCTGGGGAGGGACTGCGGGAGGGCTCCAGGTGTGTCTGGCCAGGCTCCCTCAGTCCTGAATGGCCGGACCCCAGCAGCAAGCTAACCTACTGGTAGGAGCATCTGCCCCCTGGTGGTCAGTGCACATCATAGCGACTGGTTGACTACTCAACTGTTTGCCCCTGGTGGTCAGTGCATGTCATAGCAAGTGGTTGAGCAGCCTTAGCATATCATTAGCATATTACACTTTGATTGGTTGAACAGACTACCGGACACCAAACATTTAGCATATTAGGCTTTTATTATATAGAACTAGAGGCCCGGTGCACAAAAATTTGTGCACTCGGGGGTGTCCCTCAGCCCAGCCTATGCCCTCTTGCAGTCTGGGACCCCTCAGAGGATGTCCACCTGCTGGCTTAGGCCCGCTCCCTGGGGGATCGGGCCCAAGCTGGCAGTCAGACATCCCTCTGGCAGCTTGGCAGCCCTCGGGGGATGTCCACTTGCCAGCAGGGAGCAGGCCTAAGCTGCAGTCGGACATCCTTAGTGCTGCTGAGGAGGCGGGAGAGGCTCCCACCACCACCGCTGTACTGGCAGCTGGCAGCCTGGCTTGTGGCTGAGCAGAGCTCCCCCTGTGGGAGCGCACTGACCACCAGGAGGCAGCTCCTGCATTGAGTGTCTGCCCCCTGGTGGTCAGTGTGTGTCATAGTGACCAGTCATTCCCAGTCGTTCTGCTGTTAGCGTCAGTTTGCATATTACCCTTTTATTATATAGGATTATGTCTTGTACATATCAATACTAGAATTTTAATGTATTAAAATAATAATAAAAACACTATTATAACACTAAACTGTGAAGGGTTAATAAAAATTTGACAGTCATAGATTTTTGAAAGTTTAGTCATATATGGAACTAGATTAAGATTTGATTAAGTAAGCCTCCCATCCCTATCCCATCCCTCTCTACTTATTAAGGATGAGATGAGAACTGAAGTAACTAAGGCCAGGTTTGCTGAGTTAAGGTCAGTAATTATATCAATCTAATTCTTGTTAATTTTTTTTCCCAGAAACAACATAATCAAAAGAATACTAGCCATCCAAAACAGTGGGAGAGGTTATGAGACCCAGAATCTTTACATAATGCTGAACAGAATTGATGGCTACCAGAAAAAGATGATGGGGGTCTGGACCGAGAAGCAAAAGTCTCTAGAGCAGAAACGGAATCAGTGCCTGAGGAAAATGATGTTCTTATTTAGCCAGGTAATCTGTTTTCTATTCCCTCGCCCCAGTATGATACAAGAAAAGTGAGAGTGGTAAGCTTTGAAAATAACATTTATCTGGAGATACCTTGTATATTGGCTTCCTAGGGCTACTTTAACAAACTTCATGGCTTAAAACAACAGAAATGTATTCTCTTAGAGTTCTGAAGGCCAGTTTATGAAATCAAGATGGAGAAAGAATCAAGATGGTTCTTTCTGGAGGCTCTGAGAAATGTATTTCATGTCTCTCTCCAAGAGTCTGATAGCTATAGACAATCTTTGGCATTCATTGACTTGTAGCTGCATAACCACTATCCTCTGCATGCATTTTCCCCTTAGCCCTTTTCCCAGCTTGTCTGTCTTCACTTCTGAATTTTACAAAGTCATGTGTCATGGATTTAGGACCCACCTGGTTAATCCAGGATGATCTCATCTTGAGATCCTTAACTTAATTACACCTGTAAGGACCCTTTTTCTAAATAAGGTCGCATTCACAGGTTCTGGGTGAACATATCTTCTGGGGCTTCACCATTCAATCAATTACACTCTGACTTCATTGAAACTCCTAAATTGACAACAGGAATCCTGGCTGGACTTTCTAGATGAAAAAAGATTAGAATAGGAGAGACTTCTATAAGTGTTCAACTCATTCCTAGTCAACCCACATCTACCAGCCTCTCTTGAAGTCACTACTCTCCAACTGATTCATGACAGTTACTCCTTTCCTCACAACTATCAGAAAGCAAGCTTTAATTTGGTGAGTTTACAAGAAAGGAGATAAGGATTTATTTAACTTGCTTACATAGCACCATGCAGAGAAAACCCTGTTTAACTCTAACAATCCACTCATTATGTCCCAGAGCCTCCTCTGAATGACCTTCCAAAAAGTTATACAGGTGAGATTAGAGCACTTTGCTCTGGATTACATGCTCCCATTACATGTTCTAGCATGAAATTTTGGAACATCCTGGGAATTCTAGAAACATTTTGTATCTATATATCCTTTTCTTTCACTAAATTAATTAATTTAGTTACTTAATAAGATCAGTTTACTTGCTACTTTAGAAGGTACAGAAACTTCTCATCATAGCCTGATTCAAATCAGACATATTCTGAATTTTCCAGAAGGGCTACATTTTAAGTATTAAAGATCTTTGTAAAAAAAAAAAAAGGATATTTTTTAACAGTTTATTGCTTGGAAAATATGGCCAATGTAAGTGGAAAGCAAGATCAGTTGGCAGTGTCATGAACTGTCCAACAGGAATCACAATATCTAGGGCATGTCAGAGGATGAATAGGGTCTGGGGTCCAGGCAGCCTTAATCTATTTTATTGATTTTTTTTTTTTACAGAGAGGAAGGGAGAGAGATAGAGAGTTAGAAACATCGATGAGAGAGAAACATTGATCAGCTGCCTCCTGCACACCTCCTACTGGGGATGTGCCTGCAACCAAGGTACATGCCCTTGACCGGAATTGAACCTGGGACCCTTGAGTCCTCAGGCTGATGCTCTATCCACTGAGCCAAACCGGTTAGGGCAAGGTAGCCTTAATCTAAATGATAAGGTGGGTATCAAGGCATAAACAAGGGGGAGAAAAAAGCAAAAGAGAGAAGAGGATAGAAATGAAATAAATACCTTTCACTGAGTCAGGGTGGTGGTCAAGAAGTTAGTTCTGTTACCAGACTACATGGGTTCAAATCAGCTCCACTACATACTAAGTAGGAGACCATGGACAAGCCACTTAAATTTTCTGAATTCCAAATACCCATGTATAAGACAAGGACAATAACAGCACCTTTCTCATAAGGTTGTTGTCAATATCAAATGAATTATTATGTAGAAAGCATCTAACATTCAGCAAGGATTCAGTAAATGTTTGCTATTATTGCACTTGCATAGTTCTTACAATTTATGAAGTGCTCCCATATATATTATGTTACACAATTCTTACAACAACCCTGTGTTATTACCCTCATAGAATAAGGAGAAAGAGGTGCCGATAAAGTTAGCAACTAGCTCAAAGTCACACAGCTAGGAGATGAAAGGGCTAGGATCAGAGCTTATGCAGGAGCTAGGTTTATATATATATCATAGCGGCCACCACTGAAATTGTGTTGGAGGTGGGGTGGAGGTTGAGGAGGAGTAGTTGGAGAAGGGGAGGAGACTGGAGAAATAGGATTTGCAAATCCATGACAAATGAAGAGTCATGCTTGTAGTTAAGCTAGGGCCAGCTCAGAAGACCTTCCTGAAGATTCTGGCCCTTTCTTTTCATTGTTTCCTCTTTTATTTGTTTATTTTTAGCTCCAAGATATGTATCAGTTGAATCTTAGTCAACCTGTACCTTTGCTCATCGACAAAAAGCAGAAACCTACCCCTACCAAATTTATTCAACAGCCATTCCTAGAGCTACTAATGAAAGAGGACAGAAAATCTGACATATTCAAGAAATTTAGGTATGTGGTAGGAAAGACTGCCATTAAGCTTTCTTTGGATGGTATGCTTTTTTTTCTGCCCAAGATCTTCCCCTCCCTGACAATTATAATATGGTACAGTGGAGAGTCTAAGGATTATTAATTTTCTTAGCTAATTTAACAAGAGGCTTATTTATAGATATTCCTACTTAAATATCTAACATCCAATTTTGAGTTCCCTTTTTAAAAAGAAGCTGATTCTTTCTTACTAAGCAGCAAATTAATACCCAATGAAGAAACTTAGAAGTATTACTTAAAAAAACATAAAGAAAGTAGGAGCTTTGGGAAGGAAGAGGAAAAAGATTGTTGCTGGGGAAAAAAGAAAAAAGTTTTCTGGATATGGTCCATATACAGTAATCCAGGCAGCTAAGAAGGTAGTTTTAAAATGGATTACTAGGTAAAATCATGGAAATGCAGCTTTTTTAGGGGGAGGTGGGGCGATTTTAATTCATTTCTCAGTCAAAGTGGGCGTGGCTAATGTTCCTCAGTGTGAGGGAGGGCATTATGGGACAGGGTGGTGGTGGTGAAGAAAAAAGGGGAGAATAAGAATCATACCTTTTGATTGCCTATGGAGTGCAGCAGAGTTTGGTGCTTTCAATTAGTGCTCTCTGACTCTCTAGACAAGAAGACCAGATGGCAGCCATCTGGAATGCTGACCAGTCCACTACAAGCTACCCAATAGCTGAGAAGACATCACTACATTCACTGTGGGCCCAGCTGGGTGGGTACCCACCTATTCCCATGCTGCTCCAGTTAGATGTTCAGTCTTCCTTCAGAAAATCTCTTGCATCCATTCAATCACAGTAAGTTAAGGACTGGAAGCACTCTGATAATTGGGCTTTTGGTCAAATGCCTCCCCCGCTCCTCCCCACCCAACTTAACTTTCTCTTACAGCACCAAGGAGTTACCAAAAGTATTAGTTGTTTTAGTGTTTCTCTCCGGAGGCCTGCAGAGGTCACTATGGAATAATATGGACAAAGCAACCAGTTATAATACCACGAAACCTAACACTAGATTAGTCCACTTTGAATTCCACCCGTTATTATTGGGATTTTATAATTGAAAGTACCAGAAAACCCATAGCAGTATGCTTTTGTCTACCTCATGGTTCAGTAACATACCTTACATGCAGCTGCCATCTCTAGGCCCAACTTGAGATAAATTAAGTGCTTATATCCCAGGATATACTGAAGGATAGGGAAGGTGGGTGACATGGATCCCTCTTTCCAAATTCTGTTAAACCCGGTTCTCACTTGGTGATTTCATACTCGGAGTGAGTTAGAGATTAAGAGTCAATTACTTTGTAAACCCTAGTTTAGCACTTCTCTTTGGAATTTGGTATCTATTATTAGGGTTGCCAGATTTAGCAAATAAAAATATAGGACACCCAATTAAATTTGAATTTCAGATAAGCAACTAATGATTTGGTACTATAACTATAGTCCATGCAATTGTATTCTTATATTAAACATTATTCATTTTTTATCTGAAATTCAAGTTTAACTAGGCATCCTGTATTTAATATACAGGCAACTCTTCTATTATGCCAAAACCTCCATTTTTACATGCTATTGCAAAATATGTATGTGTTAGTTTTAATGTAGAGTTAGATGCCTGAAAACTTTCAGAGTAAGAGATGCTGAAAACAGTGGAAAAAAATTTAAGACATTATAAGAAAATTAAAGTCTTGGATTTTAAAAAATATATTTTATTGACTTTTTACAGAGAGGAAGGGAGAGGGATAGAGAGTTAGAAACATCGATGAGAGAGCAACATCAATCAGCTGCCTCCTGCACAATCCCCACTGGGGATGTGCCCGCAACCAAGGTACATGCCCTTGACCGGAATCGAACCTGGGACCCTCAGGCTGGCGCTGTATCCACTGAGCCAAACCGATTAGAGCAAAGTCTTGGATTTTTGCTATTTTTCACTAAAATAAAATAAGTACAGAAAATATAAATTTTTAGAAATCTTAAATTAATAATAATGGATGCTATATAATCAGTTACTATTTATACTTCCTTTTTTTCTCACTAGAATCTCTTCAAGGTCCTTCCTTCCCCAAAGAGGATTATATTTACTTTATGTGGTGTCAATTAAAGTACAAACCAAAGATTTTCTTTCCTTCTGGGTTTAGTTATTTCTACTGTCCTTTAGGACTCAGTTTAAACAATCACACTTTCTAAACTATCTTCTCTGACTCCTATGTGCTCTCAATGTATCTTATAATTAACAACATCCTAGCACTTACCATTTTGTGTTGTTTTTTAAAAAATATTTTATTGAGCCCAGCCAGCGTGGCTCAGTGGTTGAGCTTCAACCTATGAACCAGGAGGTCATGGTTCGATTCCTGGTCAGGGCACATCCCCGGGTTGGAGGCTTGATCCCCAGTGTGAGGCTGCAGGAGGCAGCCAATCAATGATTCTCTCATCATTGATGTTTCTATCTCTTTCTCTCCCTTTCCCTTCCTCTCTGAAATCAGTAAAAAATATATTTTTAAAAAGTTAATTTATTGACTTTTAGAGAGAGAGGAAGGGAGAGGGAGAGAAACATCGACGTGAGAGTGGAATATTGACCAGCTGCCTCCTGCACACCCCCAACTGGGGATCCAGCTCGCAACCTGGGAACATACCCTGATGGAGAATCAAACCAACAACCTTTAGGTGCACGGGATGACGCCTGCCCAACCAACGGAGCCATACTGGCCAGGGCTTACCATTCCTTTTGTTCTTGTTGTTAATCCTCACCTGAGGATATTTTATCCATTGCTTTTCAGAGAGAATGAAAGGTAGGAGGGTGGGAAGAGAAGAGAGAAATGTCAATGTGAGAGAGACACATTGACTGGTCCACAACCCAGGTATGTGCCCTTGACTGGGAATCCAACCCAGAACCCTTCAGTGCCCAGTCCAATGCTCTAACCACTGACTGCACTGGCCAGGGCTTACCATTCTGTATTATAATGGCCTCGTTACTCCCCTGATTTGAGACTACATTTTTGGGAGATCACTTGCTTGTTGTGTTCAACTGTCTCTACTTTTGTTCTGCCTGCTTTCAAAAACATTTGCTAACTACTTACTAAGTGCCAGCTACTGAGATACAGTAAGTGGGAAGGTTTCCAGAGACCATGGTTGCCAGGCAGAAGGAACAGTATGTACAAAGATCCAGGGCCAATAGTGTATGGCTGCTTCTGCTTTATCTCCTACAAAATAAAAACTATATGAAATTAAAACCTTCCTACTCCCCAGTTCCCTTCCTTCCTGTTTCCAACAGCGGGGACTAGAACTAAAATTTCTCTTTCTGCCTTGATGTGTTATATGGTGCTTGGAGTTACTGCCATCTTTGGCAACAATGAGTTGATATCCACAGGACAGAAGGAGAATACACCAAGAATCACAGAGAAGAGAGATAAGTAGAAACCTGTCTTTGATGACATCCAGTTGTTAGATACACATATTTGTTTCCGGGCTTTTTAAGTGAGTAATAAATGGTCTTAGAGCTTCAACCATCCTTAGCCAGGAGGTCTGTTCCTTGCAGCCATAAGTACTACTGACTTATTCAGTTTATATTTTTCCCCTCAGGAAAGCCTTTCCTAACTCTGCCTATTGCCCTTGGGTGTCAGCTCTCCACACTCCCGTAATATCCTAAGCGTATTACTCTATCATTATATTTACCCACATATTCTAATTATCTGTTTATGCATCTGTCTTGTTGTATCCTCAGAGGTCTGACACTTTGCCTGGCCCATTAGAAATAGTCAAAAAAGTTTAATGATGAATGAATAAGTCTATGTTTTTGTCCCCAAAGAGGTAATAATCAAAGCAGGGGGTGAGGAAATACTGAGGAATTACAAAAGATAACAACTATCAAAAAACAGTTTTCAACAGGACTCTCTTAGAGAAAAGGAAGCTTTGGAAGTTGTAGAATATGTGCTGGAATTCTTATTGAGGGAAGTACTACTCCCTGTTAAATAATAGTAATAAAAGTAACACTTCACAACTGTGTGGTGCTTTTCACCCTGATTCTAATATCAAATTTAACTTCACAACCATCCTGATGAGGTAAATAGAGCAAGCATTTTAGAGAATAGGAAGCTGAGGCAGAACCAGACTTTCAAACAAGTTATATTCACCATACTGTAGACATGAAACTTATCTTAAGCTAAATTGCTTACATATTTTCTCCCACTGAGGTAAAGACTATCTTGTGTGAAAAATCTTACCAAACAGTAGACAAATGTTAGGGTCAGAATGATGGAATCTGCCATTTCTTGGAAATTTACCCTATGTCTCTGTGACACTGTTACTCTGTGTCACACATAAGCATATACATACACATACTGTCTTTCACTATTCAGATCTTGTTTAAATTATAGGTAGAGAAAGCTAACACATAGTGTGATGTGTCATAATCCTTTATTTCCCTAAGGCAGTGGTTCTCAACCTTCCTAATGCCGCAACCCTTTAATACAGTTCCTCATGTTGTGGTGACCCCCAATTTCATTGTTACAAATTGAACATAATTAAAGCATAGTGATTAATCACAAAAACAACATGTAATTATATATGTGTTTTCCAATGGTCTTAGGCGACCCTTGTGAAAGGGTCGTTCGACCCCCAAAGGGGTCGCCAACCATAGGTTGAGAACCGCTGCCCTAAGGGATGGTCCTACGGGTGGAGGGAGGGACGCGGGGGGGTTGCATGCTTGAAAATAAGTAAATGGTTCAGATGCTTGCCTTGACTTGTTAAAGCATTTCCCTAAGGAGGGGAAAAAAGACTTAGGACACAAGCCATAAATTGGAAAGTTGCCGGGTAAATACAGAATCAAGGCAGAGGAAGCTACTTATGTGCTACCAATTACTGTGACATAAGATTGTGATTTGGATTTGTCTCCACTGTCAGGATGTACCAACAACCTGGATAGTTATGCTGGCTACACAGGACGCGGCTTCTCCCACTTTTCTTTTCTTTCTTTTTTTTTTTTAGAACAATAAACACCTTTATTACATGAGCTAAGATAGGAGGGAGGAGGAGTTATTTGCCTTTCTGAGCCTTGATTTTCCTCAGATAGAACTCCAGCTCCTTACCTTCTAGTACATAGACATTTGCTCTGACACACTGGCCTGGTCTTAAAGGGATACATACAAGAAGCTTGCCTGGTGGAACTGTTCCTCTACGACAGCGGTTCTCAACCTGTGGGTCGCGACACCTTTGGCGGTCAAGCGACCCTTTCATAGGGGTCACCTAAGACCATCCTGCATATCAGATATTTACATTATGATTCATAACAGTAGCAACATTACAGTTATGAAGTAGCAACGAAAATAATTTTATGGTTGGGTCACAACATGAAGAACTGTATTTAAAGGGCCAGAAGGTTGAGAACCACTGCTCTACGAGCCTGCTAACTTTGCCATTATTTTTCCTTTCATCATATTTCTAATGAATTTTCTTTGATCATTTTTGTTCAAAATCTCTTCCTCCTCAGGAGTCAGCTCAGCCCCCTTCTTGCGGCCCAGGGGCAGTGCATAATGGGTATGGGGTGCTGTCAGTGAGCACGATGCAGTTCTTTACTAGGATATTGGTGTGGACCAGTTCGTAGTTGGATGCATGGTAGACAGCATCCATAATCCTTGTTTTGCGTGAACAACACTCTGAGCTGCAGCAGAAGTTGTCCACATCCAGCCTCAAGGCTCAGTACTTCTTGTTGCCTCCCCGCATGTGGACTGAGTGTGTGCTGTGCAGGCCAATTTTAGTGCTGGCAGCAGGTCATAGTTTCACTTCCTGTGGTAGGGCTTTCTCTTGCCCCAG